AGTATGATGGATCAACTGGTACTGATAGAACACTGCAGGTACTTTATTATGATAATCCTTTTACAGTAACAACAATGTAATTTGAGTAAATAATAAATGGATTTGAGTTAGGTAGAAATGACCATCAGAGAGAAAATTATAGCTTATGATAGTGAGCATGGGGAATAAAATTAGCTTAGAGGAAGCCTCAACTTTGCATATAAGATGCTGGGTGAATGTTCTTTTTAGTTATTTAGAAAAAAAATTAACATGCATCAAATATGTTGTCAACAAATGGTAAAGATAAAAAGGATGTTTTTCTAAATTATGCTATATTCCTTATGTGATGAGGGATGGGAGAGAGAGAGAAAATGAGGAAAAAAGAGAAAGAGAGAAGACAGAGAGAGAGAAGACAGAGAGAGAGAAGACAGAGAGAGAAAAGAGAGAGAGAGAGAAAAGACAGAGAGAGAAAAAGACAGAGAGAGAAAAAGACAGAGAGAGAAAAGACAGAGAGAGAAAAGACAGAGAGAGACAGAGAGAGAGACAGGGAGAGACAGAGAGAGAGACAGGGAGAGAGAAAAGACAGAGAGAGACAGGGAGAGAGAAAAGACAGAGAGAGAGAAAAGACAGAGAGAGAGAGAGACAAAGAGAGAGAGAGAGAGACAGAGAGAGAGAGAGAGGGACAGAGAGAGAGAGAGAGGGACAGAGAGAGAGACAGAGAGGGGACAGAGAGAGAGGGACAGAGAGAGAGGGACAGAGAGAGAGGGACAGAGAGAGAGGGACAGAGAGAGAAAAGACGGGGAGAGAGAGAGAAAAGACGGGGAGAGAGAGAGAGAGAGAGAGAGAGAAAAGACAGGGACAGAGAGGGAGAGAGAGAGAGAGAAAGAAAAAAGAGGATCATGAATAAATAAGCTCCTTTCATACTTTGTGGACAAAAATAATTAACAAAATAACAAACCTGTCTGAATTTGAAAGCCATAAATCAAAAGAATAATTTACCTGAAAAGAAAAAGAAAAACATAATTTAGAAATTTAATAAAAATATTGTACATTTGATTCATTTAACATAAAAATGTTCAAAGATTTTTAATAATAAGAATAAAGAATTTATCAATTTCTTTTCCTGAAAACTTTAGTGTCCCTTGATATTGGTTCACAAGCAAATCATTTTCTGTAAATTAAACTATAAATCTTTATACACTATCCATGAAACCATTTCTCAGGATTTATCTAAGAAAAAACTTATGACAATTTAAAATATCTTTTATTTTCTTTTTTACAAGCTGATTATTTTAACCAAGCAAGGAGAATATAATAATGCAGCTGGGAGTGGGGTTAATACCAACTGCCTACTTAGATTGAGCCATAAAAGATGGTATTTTCACCAAATCTAATCACCAAATTCATGCTCCAAAATTCAGTCTTTTATGCAAAAATCAAAGAGTACCAATTTTTTGGGTTATGAGAAATTTATAAAGAATCAAAAATCAATTTTTTTCTGCAAAAATGATTCTTATTATTATTATTATCACTGTATAAAAGCTAAAATGTAATCAAATTTTTTCTATAACATGGCTTCCTACTTAAAAGATTTTTTAATTTAAGAAAAAAAAAAATAAATTAGTTTGAAATATAAGCTACCACTGAATACAGTTTTAGTTCAAAATATTGATTAAGATCATAAAATAACCTTAATTTTTTTTTTTGGGGGGGGGATGAGGAGGAAAGAAAAATTCTTGGTTCTAGTACTTTTGTATTTGATGATGGTGGTTAAAATCACAGACTGATGCTGAAGAGCAGCTTTTTTTCTATTTTTATTGCTGCAAAGCTAAGAACCAATTTCAGACATTGGTAACAATTTCACTGTGCCATGAGTTAAATACTTTAAGAAACCAATAACAACCCTAGAATATTCTACATTATAAAATACAATAGACCTTCACATATTTATCAATTACACAATTCCCTTTTTGTAATGTGATATTCAGTTGTGAGGATAACAGAAATGGTTATAATGTGTGTGCGTGTGTGTGTATAATTTTTCAATTAGTTATGTGTCTTTTTCAATCTGTTTTTATTTTTACTCTGTTTTGCACATGTGCATATTCATGAATTTAATGTTCTTTTACATGCACATGTTCGTGAATTTGGGGATTTTGTTTATGTCTTCATTTTTGTAGATTTTTTTTCCGGTTGTAAATTATTTCTTCAAAATTAAATTAAATTGTAATATTTGTTAATTTGTAAAATTAATTAAATTATAATTTTTTATGTTGTATTTGTATTATTAATAAATATTTTAATTGATTTATTATGTTATATTATTAAAGTAACAAAGTAAATATTTGTTAATGTGTTGGCATCGACCCATTATCTCATTCTTCTTATTTAAAAATTTAATTTGATTAATTAACATGAAACTATTTGAAAAAATTGGAAATATTTAAATCCAAACCACCTGAAGAACAAATTTTTTTACCAAGAAGTCAGGGAAAAAATTGATATTTAAGAAATTCTGTAACCTATCCACAAGCAGCCCTAAAAATGCATTCTCGGCAACACAGGATAAAACATAATATGGTTCAACCTATCATACAACAAAAACAGAAAAACAAACAGAAAAATATTCATTAGACTCATACACAAACCCTCCCCCGCATCAAGCATTCTCCACAAGATATTCAACAAAAACAGTGAAAATCAGCTACAGTTGCACAGAAAAAGACAAATAATAAAAAAGCACAACAGGAAAACAGCCAACAAGCCACCAGAACAAATCATACCCACATGTAACTGCAGAACAGAGAATGAATGTCCCTTAAATGGAAATTGCTTACAGAACAATGTAATATACCAAGCCACTGTAAAATCAGTAGATAATGAAGAAAAATATATATGATAGTAACTGAAAGATTCTGGAAACAAAGAAAAACATCCTTTACAAGTAAATACGCAAACAGCACAATGCTTTGTAAACATATCTGGGAGATCAAAAACAAAAAAACAAAAAAAAAAAAACAAATCACACCAAAATATCATTTAGATACTCAATGGGTGATACATACTTATGCCTTTTGGCTACATTAGGATAAACATCTAAGAAATTAAATGAATTTCAACTGAATCACTAAAAATAACCAATGGTAATGAAAATAGTAAAATTAACCCTTTCCATACAAGGAAACATTTGACATGCATTGATTTAATAGTTAGCATTACTGTTGGTTGAACTTTATAAAATCTTTCTTTTAAAATAATTTTTTCAGGAAATTAGATTACTCAAGTCACTTAATTTAGGGAAAAAAATTCATATTTAAAAGTTATGTAATCTTTTTTATATAATATTAATGCTCTATTTTTAATATTATTTTAATATTGATGATACTTAAATTTTTAATTATGTATATTAGAGATAGAAATGTAGATTTTAGAGATAGAAATCCTTCAAAATGGGTAGAAAATAAATGAAAGAATCTTTTTTATCCACGCATTCTCCATGGATAAAAACTCGGACACTTAAGATGGAGAAAATGAAATGATTAACAATTTTTTTAAAAGTCACTGATTATCTGTCTTTTTTTTTTTTTTTTTTTAAAAAGTCACACAAGCAGTGCCAGCTTGGGAAAAATATAAAATTTCTTATTTTAAACACACACAAATGCATACACAAGCAACACTTTTTCAACTTCAATCTGATGAAGCCAAACAGGTGAAATGTATAGTTGGATGTTTTTTGATACATACTTTACGAAAAGTTTTTCCATATGTCAATAATATATATATATATATATATATATATATATATATATATATATATATATATATATGAAGAATTATTAAATTTACTTTTATCCCACATTTTTATTACTTCAAACATTGTTATAGTAAATACTTTCATTTCAAATAGATGCTACATTTTTATTTTTACTTTTAACATTGTGTCTATCAGCCGGTGTATCTAAAAAAATCTTAAGAAAATGTGCTCTCTGGCAGGGATCAAACCTACATCCCCCTTTGTTGGAGAAACCACCATTTGATTTAGTCTGCTTTACTACTCAGTTATGAAAATAGAGGGATATGATGCTAATAGGTAAATATGTACTAAATAAGAGAAAATACCCAGTTATAAAATATAAGATAGCACAGAGACCTTGTTAAGTGTTGGCCAAGGACAAAATGACAAACATTTCGGTAGTACCAATGTACTTGGAGAGACTGCAGACAAATCTAAAGCCAAAAGCCAATGAACAAAGCCAAAAATTATTGAGTTAGCTGACATCTCAATAAAAACTCATGTAGACATTTGGCAGATTTATTCGCCTGGGAACAGATCTGCAATGAAGACAACAGACACAGTAGTGAAGCTACCATTTTGTGATCATATGGAAACTGATGATTTTTTTTTTTATCTCTGAAAAGTGGTCATCAATACTAGATTAGTAATGGCATGTTGGATAAATTAGAATAAAAGTCCCATTGCAACAACTGCGGCATACAAAGCATTTCCAGTGACACAAGTCATTACTATCAGGAATTGAAAATAATGTCAGAATAACATAAAACCAATTATCTAATCCCAAGTTAAAGACATTAAGTTTTTTTTCTTTCTTTTTTTTTTTTTTTAATCAATTCACCCCAAGCAAGGCAATGATGCCACTAAGACACAAACTGTTACTGGAAGTGAAAGAGAATGATGACTTTAAAAGGAACTGGAAACCCAATCATGAACAGGAAACAAAGGATAAACATCTACTCCAGTTCAAAAAACCAGGAGGAGTATGAACTGGATGATAGGTGAATCTATCTACTCCTATTAAGGAAAAAAATAAATAGTAAATACAATTTCAGATTTGAGGCGGGGGATGTTAGATATATAGAGTTGCAGACTTTAGTGAAATTGAAAATTCAGTCTAACAGGAGCAAGAGATAAACCTCTGTTCCTGTTCAAAAGATCAGAGAGGAGTGTGAACTGGATGATAGGCAAACCTATCTACTTCTATTTGTGAATTGGTGTACTTAATCTAGAGTAATAAGGAAACAAGGGACAAAAAAACGAAGGAAACAAGGGACAAAAAAACGAAGGAAACAAGGGACAAAAAAACGAAGGAAACAAGGGACAAAAAAACGAAGGAAACAAGGGACAAAAAAGAAGGAAACAAGGGACAAAAAAACGAAGGAAACAAGGGACAAAAAAGAAGGAAACAAGGGACAAAAAAAGAAGGAAACAAGGGACAAAAAAAGAAGGAAACAAGGGACAAAAAAAGAAGGAAACAAGGGACAAAAAAAGAAGGAAACAAGGGACAAAAAAAGAAGGAAACAAGGGACAAAAAAAGAAGGAAACAAGGGACAAAAAAGAAAGAAAGAAGGAAACAAGGGACAAAAAAGAAAGAAAGAAGGAAACAAGGGACAAAAAAGAAAGAAAGAAGGAAACAAGGGACAAAAAAGAAAGAAAAAAATAAGGGAAAAAAAAAAAAAAAAGAAATGTTTCCGGTCATAGTATTTATTGTAGAACTCCAAACAAATAAGTTTGGAAGTCTCCACTGTATTTTTTTTTTTTTTTTTTTTTAAATTAATCAGTTTGCTAATGTTGCAATATTATTCATGTTTCTTGAATGAAACCTCCATGGAAGTATGGTGGCGTAATGGATAGCAGTTCTGATTGAAGAATTGGAGATCTGAGTGAATTACATTCAAGTTTATTACCTTCATTTACATGCTATTAATCTTGGGAAAGGTACGATTCCATCTCTTCTCCCCAAAGCTATGGGTAAAATTTCAATTAATATCATTTAAAACCCTTTTATTTTATCTCCTTAGGATTAATAAGGATTAAGAGAAGGTAGAATCAGCAGCGTGAGAATAGGTTAACCTTTATATAAAAAGGGAGAACAAAACATGATATGTCAGGGGTGAAAGGTTTTGAAAGAAGTTTTAGATTTAACATGTTGTGAGGAGGAAAGTAAAAAAATATATCATTCAAAAAAAATCTTTTCTCTTAAAAAAAGTAAAAAAAATGACATTCATTTTCTGTTTGAATCTTTTTGAAATGACAATTTTTTTTTTTATTATTCTTTTTTATTACTGAACCATCAATTCTACAGTTCTTCCCCTCACAAGACAAAAGGAATCATAGAATTGGTATTGGGAATTTTTATAAATGAAGAGAAATGAAAAGCAGATGCTTTTTTTCATGTGTGAGAAGAACACATGTGAAAGTGAGACAGTAAGAGACATAGTAGGAGGGGGAAGTAAGAGAGGGAGGAGGCAGTAAGAGTGGTAAAAGAAGGAGCAGTAAGAGTTGAGGACAGTACGGGAGGTAGCGAGAGAGAGTCGTTTAACCTCCCCAAGTCCCCCTTTTTTTTTTAAAAGAATGCAGAGTAAACTTTTAAAAATTACTGTCACTTTAAACTCTGATTCCTGTGATTTTATAGACTGATAAATTTTTAAAAAAAAAAGAAAAAAAAAAAGATTTTTTTCCAAAAGCCCAACTAAGCTTAAACACTCAAAGAGATATCATTAGATGTGATTTTAGACAACATCAATACAAATGATGCTCAGCCATTGAAACTGTATGTCAGTCATAGGGAAAATCCCATAAATATGTTTAATGAACCAATTTAAAAGAATGAAAACCACCCCAAAATACATTCTGAAGATGATATGAATAAACACTGAAATATTAATATGACTGATATTATTAAAAACGTTCAAATTTCTTCTTTGTATAGTTGTTGCTGTTAACACACTTTGGCTGATTCATTCGTCAGCCTTCATCAGGTACAATCCATGTGAAAAAAGAAAGGAAATCTCATTACCCAAGCAGGTATCAGATATTGTTCATTAATGTACCCACCAAACTTGTCTATTTTCACAGTGTCAGGTAAATCAAGGAACTAAATTGCACCAAATAAGTGTGGAGAGCCTCCACTCCCAAAACCAATTTTGCTAGGCAAAGAAAGCCACATGGCAAGGAATCTATGCTAGCTTGACTCATGCCCTTGATCAACAGCCTGGGGTATATCACCTACTTCAGTTATCTTACTCTCCATGGTGCTCTCTGTCAATTATTAGGACTTTATCCCAAAGAGGCGAGTGTGTACCATTCTCTTTCAAGATTGCACCAAAACATTCTGCTGACAGCAACTATACATAGGGTTTGTTTTATTTTTTTTAATCAATTCACCCCAAGCAAGGCAATAAGACCACTAAGACACATGAGGCTATTGGAAGTAAAAAAAAGGTAAAGACTTTAGAAAGAACTAGAAAAGCAATAATAGCATAAATTTCACAGTTTAGGTGGAGATGTTAGAAGTATAGAGATAAGTAGAATTTCAAAGGAACTGGAAACCCAATCCTAAATAGGAAACAAGGGATAAACCTCTACTTCTATTCAAAAGACCAGGGAGAAGGCTGAACAATGTTGGATATATTAATGACTTTCTAAAGTTATATGTATTTTTTTTATTACAATTCACCCCAAAAGGGCTACTGAATGAGGCATGTGATGTAAATATAACAGTAGATAATAGGAAGTGAAAATTATGATCATAAAGAGGATAGATAACAATTGACCCTTCACTTGAAGAGGTTAAGAGTATAGTGTTTAAGAAAGCATCCACACAGAAGTCTGTTCCCCAAATAGCAGTTCTTGGGAAAAAATGAGTGGAACTTTATCCTGAGTTTTGGAATATAGAGGAAATAAGAGTGATTTGACTATGAAAGTAGTATGGTGAATCCTTAATAGGAATTGATAGCCTTGCCTATTGTCCAGTTCACACTCCTCCCTGGTCTTTTGAACAGGAGTCGATGTTTCTCACTTGTTTCCTGTTTAGGATTGGGTTTCCAGTTTCTTCTAAAGTGTTTCAGCTCTATACTCCTAATGTTTGTTCTTTCCTAATATTAGTCTACACAGTAAGCCTCTACCTTGAGTGTCACTTGGGCCTTATATTGAGTGAACATTAGTATTAAAAAAATTTTTTTTTATTTTAAAGTTTGAACTGGTGGAACTAAAGAATGGTGCTCAACTGAACATTTGCCATGGAAGTTGCAATAATCTTGTGATCTGTGGAGAAAGAGGCTGCGGAATGGAAAATAAACCATGAGATGAGTTATATGACAAGGAGGTAGATGCAGCCAAATGTTTCCTTATAAGGAAACAGCTAATGTTACCATTCCATCATAAGAATGTATTTTTGCTTTCTCATTTTGGTGGATATACAAGTGTCCCCCCAAAATTTACATCATCTTGTGTTATAATAATATAGCCAATTCTCACTCAAATGATCTAAAATTTTCACAAAATGTATAAAAACTAAATAAGTTAACCACACAGATTTATCTCAATGAGAATCTACCAGGAAGATAGATTGGGTGTGCCAGTGATAATGACAATGTGTCCTTGAAATGGCCATCATGCTAACCTGACTCGACACCTTGTGATTTCTTTTTCTATGGGGGTACGTAAAAGGACAGTTCTATATCCCTTCTCTTCCTACAAGCAGAGAATCACTGAGGTGCTAGAGAATGTTACGCAAGACATGCTACAGCATATTTGGCAGGAGCAGGACTACCGACTTAATATGTCACAGGTGGTGTGCATAGTAAAGCTTTGTGAAACTGGTTATAAAATGTATATCCCTTTGAATATTGCTTGAATTTTTTCATAAATAAATCTTTTATTATTCAGCATGAAGCCAATTTAATCATTACCACACCACAGGTGACAGTAGTCGGCATAGAATTCTCTCCCTTTGCTACTCTAGGCGCATTCTGTCACCAGAGACAGTTGCCAGAAATAAACACTTGTCAACTATTTCTGGTATTTCAAGCTGGAAATCGCCTACTACTGCTTTAGAACAAGGCTAAACTTCTGTTTTCCAATGCCATTTTGAATTCTTCTAGACTCTACACAAGGTGTAACATTAATTAAACCCACGTTAACTTTTTTGTGATTTTTTTCTAAACAAAAATGGCCATGCCAATCTCCAACAAAGCCTTTATTCAGGAGTTTTTCTTTGCTTAGGACTCCAATGATGATTTTGAAGGCTTTACTTGAGGGGATATTGATGGTGAAGTGGTTGGAGATGATAACCATGCTAGTGATGTGGAGGAAAGCGACAATGACCACTAGCAACTACTATCATCCATGCCCGAGTAATTTTATGGAAGCTACTGGTGACCATTGATATATCTGATGATCTTTCTGAAGGCAAATTATTTTGTCTATTTATAAACAACAAAATAATAACATTATTTATCAACGAGACAAATAAATATGAGTCAGGTGAAATACAGAGCAAACAAATGCTAGTGTCTTCTTGTATGTAAACTTGGGGAGACATCACTTTTTTGACAAAATAAAAGACTTTTTAATAATTTTGCTTCTTATTGTACCCCCCCCCAGGTCTCTGCAACGAATAATAAAAGTTAAAGTATATTGAATTATTATTTGTTTTTTTTATTTTGCATTTTTTATTTCGTGTTTCAATTTTTTGTTTTCAACGTCAAAACATACATGCAAAATGTAATGCATTACATCAAAATATTACTTATCCATTATTTTATTAGTATACAAAAATTAAAATCTATACACACAATACAAAGAAAGTTATAACAATTTTAAAACAGTAGGTGTTCATGGTTTTGCACCCCACCCCCCAATGCAGTGGCAGGGGTAACAATTCTAGTAAGAGATTAATGCGGTAAAGGTTAATTTTGCATGGGACATGTAGTTACTCAGATATTCACATTTTAAATGATGTCAATTTTTGGGGGACACCTTGTATTATTCTCTGGTGATTTATCTCATGATATAGTTAAAGGGTTATATGTCTTATCTAGATTTATTCACTTAAGCCTTCTGGGGGTTAAAGAAGTAACCTGAAAGGATTAGAAAACAAAGACCAGAAAGAAGGGTAAAGTTGGATTATGTTCAAGCTATACTAGGAGCCTTTCCCCCAATTTTCTCACAACCATGTTCTGAATTAAGTAGTTAAAAGAATCAAATAAAATAAAACCCAAACTTGATTTTGACAAGGAAATAAATCTGATTAAAATAGTATTGAATAAAAACAGTGATAAGGATAATCTTTGCAGTTACAAATGTCAAGGTAACCTTTGGAATATTTGTCGTACTAAGGAAACTGAAACAGAATATTTTAAATATTTGAAATCTACAAGCGAATATATATATTTTTTTTTTAATCTGTAAAAATTGCTTCTTTTAAGTAGTAATTGATGTTACACATCAAAGAGAAATTTGCTTCTAGAATGAACGAGTCTTTATTTTTGTAATACCTTCATTATATTTCTCGATAATCAAGCAATCTGGTTAATTAATAAGGATGGATATAGATGTTTATTTTATGGCACATCTAATCTTAACAAGTTATGTAATGTCAAGTATGATTTTTGTTTATATTTCGACCTTACGATGCCTTTCAAAGAAAAAGCACAAAGGATTTGTAGGAATACAGATATGTTGCCTAGAACAGTT